TATTATAACGAGACAATTTTAGACTATTTTTCATTATGTCGATTATCTGTAGAAAAGTATATAGTATGATATGTTTTTCTTCTATTTCATTAAAATGAATCACACTAGAAACAAAAACACGAAGGAAAATTCTACTATAATAAATGTCAATCTTTCTTTCTTTCTTTCTTTCTGTCTTTTTTGTTTTGTAAAAAAATAAGAATGAAGCATAAAAAAGAAGAGGTTTTTTTCTTGGTGCTTTCAGACAATTCTAAAGGGGAGGAGAGTAGTTATTATTATTATTATGATTATTATTCTCTTCCCGTTTCCTGTTGGTTGAGCGGAACATTTTCTCATTGGTCGATCGCTTGAAAGAGCATACAGACAAACAATCTCTTTTTTTCTTCCTGTCTCTTTTTTTTTCTTTTTTTTTTGACTAAGCAAACGATGAACATGAATGAGAACGAAGATTTTTTTTTCTCATCACCACACATTAAGTGCCAAACTCAATCCGGAAGAAGATGATGGAGGTCATTGTGATAAGTTAAAAAGAATAAAGAAAGACAACACCACCAACAACAACAACTATGTTTATCCTTCAAATGGGTTTGAATATACGATTAGTTATATTGAGAGATAATAAACTATTTTCTTTTGAATACAGATCGAAAAGCAATTATTTCATTTAGACAAGAGTACATATAAACAAAACATAGTCTACTTTTTCTCTCTCCCTTTCTGCATTCAAGTTTAGTGTTGTTGATAGCATGACATATGGTCAATGTTAGTTTTGCACCTTTTCTCTTGTATATATACACTTGCGTGAAAAAACAGTAACAGACAGACTGTCTATATATAAATGATTCATTTTAAAGAGAAAAAAATTATGCAGAATGTTGAACATTCCTCTTTCGATAATAACAACAACACATTGCTGTTGATGATGAAAAAAGTAAATAATTTATTGACAGCATTTCATATATATATATATATGATGGAACTTTTCGAAAAATGTCCATGCGTTAAACGACTATGTCATTGTTTGCTTTTTGATTTACTCCGTTTTGAATGTATATACGTAGTCTGTAAAATGCGCATGATATTTTAGAGGCGGCTCCGCCTTTACATCTGGGTAAAACGATAGAGCAACAAAAAAAGAGAGAAGGAGAGGGAACGAGCTTTCATCTCGTTGCCTTGAGGGTAAACGGCATATAACATTGAACTCAACGTACGTTCAAGAAGTAGTAGTAGTAGTAGTAATAGTTTTGAAGGAAGAAAAGCTTCAGGGTACTCCGATCATCATCATCAAACTCCATTAACACGTTCTATTGTATGAACGAACGTTTTCCTTTCACTTCTTATGTGTGTAAACAAAAGACGAAGCAGCCCATATATATGTATATAAATATATACAACTGCTAGAGATTGATTTGATCAATCAGAAGATGTTAAGATATTGGATGACATCATTAGTTTAACCCCTAGATCGTTTTTTTTTTGTTTTTGTTGTTTTTGATATAAGCGACAATGATGATTTTGATTCTCATCGATTGAAAAAACAAGATAATAGTCAATTAAATCATATCATTGATAGTATATGTATCTCAATGTGTTCATCAAAGAAAAGATTGAGATAATGTCTCAATTACTTTCTTACTGAGAACAAAATGAATCCTACTGTTTTTAATGGACTCATGTAGATCGAACGACATGTACGCATTTCAACTAACAAATAACATTGAACAGAGATCATATTTCAACATGATCAACTATGAATACTCATTGTGACATTGACAATCATAAAACGTGCTGATGATAATATGTATTCAAGAGGAAAAAGAACGTTAGATTTCGTTTTTTTTAATCTATCATCAACAGACATAAGTCACGAACAAAAAATTAACTTAGACGATACGCAGGTATAGAAAAGCAATGACAATATGGGCGGACAGAATGCCACTGTCCATTTTCTCTCTAGCGATCAAGTGACAAGTCACTTCTCTCTTTTTTTTTGTCTTTACTCGTACTTGTCCATTCGTTCATTTGCCGTAAGGCATACTTTCAATCACGGTAACAATATGATGGCGGTAAAATGGTTGTTAACTCACTTTTTTCTTTTACTGTCCGATCGAAATCTCTCGACTCTCTAATGGATGATAATTGCTGCTAACTTACTCATCGTATGTTTTTTCAAACATCAATCTCTATACTGTATATAAGATATACATTTACTTTATCCTAATAGACTTGTCATTAAATCGTACATTTAAATGTTGAATGATGAGGACATATGAAAAAAGTAATTAATTCTCAATGACATGATGATTAAAATCTATCCGTGATTTTCGAAAAAAAAAGTTTTTTTTTTTCAAAAGAAGTTCCGGTATAGGCGTGCACATACATACATCAGTTACTTGCATGTTTCAAACATATTAGTGAAATGTGTGAAAATCAAATGTTGACGCGAGGGGTGGAGAACTTCGAAGAAAAAAAAAAACAGTTCGTCATCATCTAACTCTCATACTAATTATAATATAGTTCTATGTGTGAGAAGGAACCGTATGGTATCGAAAGCAATCTACTCATAAGTGTATTTCGATTATAGATGCATCTAGAAAAACAATGATTACTAAGAAATATCTTATAAACATGCTGTGCATTTGTTTAATTGAAAATTAGATGTATATATGAGAGAAAGGTGGAGCTTTAGTCAAGCAATCAGGTAAATATAGCTAAACAAATGATTGATTATATATATATATATAAATGAAGATGTCATCGAAATATATAGTATTCTATTTAGAATATAGTGATGATATATCAAAATAGCTTGAAAAACAAATAAATTACTATATGCAAGAACAATAAACACGAAATGATTATCAATGAACAATGATAAGAAATACTTTTCTTTTTTTGTTTTTTTTAACATAACATTTCTTTCTTTATTTTTGCTTTGAGATATATAATTTACTTGATGAAAATTTTCTTTAACTAAAAATAGATAGAAAAGTCGTACATTTTAAATCCGATAATAAAAGATATAATCCATTGACCTTTTCAGTACATATTTATATTGAATGTTTTACAATAGAAAGTACTTAAAGACAAATAAACGGAAGAACTAACAAGTACGAACATTTATGTTAACAATTATAAGCATGATTATTCAAAATGTGTATAATATTATCAATGGAAAAGCAGATTTTAATAAAAACAGGGAAAAAATGTTGCTAATCAAATAGAAACATTTATTTCGAGTACATAACTATAAAATATAGTGCATGTTATAACAATGATGCTTTCATGTCGAGTTGCAGGAGAAGTTTTTGTTCAAAATCAATGTTATGTGAATATATTCTTTGAGTTTAAAATTTTTCTAAAATATGAAATCATTTTGGCATAGTGTTTCGATGAGATTTTGTCAGATAGAGCGAAAAAACGTATTAAAAATGTGAGTAACAATAGTAATATATGAAATAATCATACATTTATATTAGATAATTAATATTCAAATACTAATAATTAAAAATTTATCTTCATTGAAGTTTGTTTTTCTTTCATATGTTTGTCTTTTACAGATATTTACACGCAGACAAGCTGTTCTAAGAATTTTTGATATAATATTAAAAAAAAAACTTCACTATGCGAAAGACCATCTGCAAGATTCAGAAAGAATAAATTTTGGAACAAAAAGGCTTAAAACATTTCTTATCATATCTATTCTTTATCCTATTTGTAATATTTCGTATGATTCGAATCATTAGAGAGTTGTATCGGATCAAGAAAAATTTCTTGAACTGGACTAAACAACTATGCGCCATAGCATAATCTCGCATACTGATTCATTATTCGAACATGCATTTTGCAGATAAATGTTTGTTTTTTCTCCCGCTTTTATTTAACTCAATAATTTGGCCACAAAAGAGTATTATTTATCTATGAACATGCAGATTGAAAGAGTAAACATTTGTTTGCAACACACACAACCAAATAATGCATTAGTATTAGATATGGTGTAATGGCTCATATTTTTGGTTGGATCCGGAAAACTTTCGCGGACCTGATGCCGCTCTCTAACAATTCATATATTAGAAGTTCATTCGACTTTTACAAAATGAAAACATAATCTCGTTCCATTCATGGAAAATCGAAAACTCAAGTGATCATTGAAAATTAGTTTTTCATTATTGTTAAAGTGACTCATTTACTTGAGGTTTTTAACCTTCTAAAAGTTTTTTTCTTTGATTTCTTTACCTGTTTGTTCCGGTAAGTGCTATCCTTAATTCAAGTGTGAAAAAAATTCTTTTTTTAAAATTACACATTTTCTTTTGAATTATCAACCGACCATAATATTAATTCCAACTAAATGTTAAAATAAAGATTCATTTCTGTTTAATAAGCAACAACTCAAATCTCTAATTTATCAGCAAGAGACCTTGAAAAAATCTTGACTGCTTTACAATGATTCGCATTACTTAGTAAATAAATCGACTAAATAGTGCATCTTCTTCTGAAGTTTATCCTTTTGAGTGTTTGTTTTGATTCTATCATCCATGATGTTGCATACTCTAAAAAACAAATGAATACTGCGTGCTTTTTATATATTCTAAACAGTATATAATCCTATATGAGCATTTCTCAATAAAATAAAACTGAAACTGAACAAGTTCATATTATTTCAATTATTCGAAAACTCGAAATAGTCTTCATTGTCTTTTCTTGATCAATAACCTTTTCGAAATTTGAGTCCAAAATATATGAATTCTCTAAGTCAATATATAATTCGAACAAATATTCACGTAACTCTGTCAAAATAGCAGTTACTGAGCGACCTCTAATAAATACTTTTACAATGGTTCAAAACGAACCAATTACTTAGAAAAAAAATGTATTTATTGTTGATACTTTTGTACCTTAAAAAATTCCTTTTTCAGCCATGATCGTCTAATGGCGTACAAGGATATTTTTTATGTAAATAAATAATGATGAAAGAGAAATCCTTTGAATAAATATCATAGATGATTCCCGTCCGTCCGGCAAAACGTTTTCAATCATCGACCAATGTTAAGTCTGATCGATGGAGAAAAGGAGGTCTATTAAAAGGTCAATTTTTATTTGCACCTGATATATGTATACCTGAAAATGAAGCTGTACCATCGAGTTCACAACCTACGAGTGAAACGTAAAAGAAACTTTTTGTTCTGTGTTTTTTTTTTTGAAAATCTGTCATTTTCGTTTTGTTTGTTTTAATTAGTACAAATAATTCAATAGCATTAACAAAAAGAATTTTAAATGATGATAATAAAGAATCAATATCAACATTACGTCGAAGTAAACGTCAAATAACTAAACAATTAGCTATAACAAAATATAAATCAGCAACATCATTTGATTCATTCATTGAAACACAATGTGAAGATGGTTTAGAAGCACGTGATACGAGAACTATTAAGGGACGTGGTGTATATACAACAAAAAAATTTTTTCGTAATGATTATATTGTTGAATATGCTGGAGAATTGTTAACACAAAGTGAAGCTAAAAAACGAGAAATTTTATATGGACGTAATCATGATATTGGTTGTTATATGTATTATTTTAGATGGGGAGAAAAAGTTTTTTGTGTTGATGCTACTGAAGAAACAAATCGCCTTGGTTAGTAGAGTTTCGATTAGAATACAATCAATAGAATTTCATTAGAAATTAAATTTATAAATTATTTTAGAAAAGAAAAACTTAAGTTCTCAAAGCATTTCATATAGAATTATTTAAATAAATTTATTTTCTTTGTTTAGGTCGTTTAATAAATCACAGCCGAAAAAATAGCAACTGTCAACCAAAAGTATTTGTTGTACGAGATCAGCCACGTCTTATTTTAGTTGCATTACGTGACATCGAAATAGGCGAAGAACTATTTTATGATTATGGGGAACGTCGTAAAGATATCGTTGAAGCGTTTCCTTGGCTAAATGAATAATTTTTCTTAGTTAGTTAAGTACTTTTTCTTATCTGGATCTGTGTGATCTAAAACAAAATTTGTAATTAAATCTCTTAGCAAAATGTCTTTTCTTTTTTTTTTTCTTTTTTTTTGTTTGTGTTCATACATACACATAACTTGCTACTAGTCATATTCTTTTCTGTATAACTTTGATTTCTTTTTTTTTTCGTATATTCCTCTTTTGCCATATTTTATATAAAATTTAAAAAAATGCAAATAATTTATGTAGAACCATTAATTTACTTCTTTTATTTCATTAAGAAATATATATATATATTAATAAAGATTGTGAAGAAATTATATATATTACTTTTTCTAGCAAAGATGAATTTGATTATAAAAAGATAAAGTATCTTTTGCTGATAATCGTTCACGGTAAAACTAATTAATAATAAATATGCATAGAACACATAAAGAATACATAAATGATCTTTATAATGAAAGAATAGCAATTTATTTGATAGCTATGACTGCTATGAACGTGTCATTTTACTCTGTTGATTATGAATTACGATTAGATTGGAAACATTATGAAATAGTAAAAAAAGATAAGCAAATTTGATGTTTATTCGAATTTTATCTTAATTCAAGTAAAATTATCATGCAAGTATGAAGAGCACAAAGCACTATTGTTATGATACAATAAATGTTTAAACTTTAAACTTATAAAAAAAAAGTAAATCATTCGACGGTTAAGTCTTGTATCCAACATCCATTCAGTAGTAGCGAATATCAACAAAATTTTGTTAATCATAAGAAATTTCCTAACTTTGATATCCTATTCAATAATCTACTCGATTTAGTTACAACATATAAATAACTATAAAAAAGCAAAAGATTATCTGACATTATACACGAAGTCGAACGAATCCAAAGATGTATCATGTTGTTGCTATCTGTTTGATACTAAAATTCTGTTAATATTACAGAATAAACGACTAATTGTTGATGATGACATTCAAATTAAAAGTAATATCGAAGTTCGACATGACAAATGCAAATGTACGTATATGTATCAGTGCTATATGTCATCATGACCAAAAATATCATTCTTCGGATAACTACTTTTATCTCTTTTATATTATGTTAGTTATTTTCAAGTATGTCAATCGATTTAAATGTAATTGTATTATTTCTTCACTTTTATATCTCTAAAAAAAATAACAGTTTGGAACAAATAGTGAAGTGCACTGAAAAAGTTCAAGACACTATTTACACCAGTATTTTCTATGAAAAGAAAGGAGTTAAATGACATATATTTTTGAGTGCCATATAAAGTTAGAGTTAAGATCTACTCAAACCATCAATTTTTAATCTAATTGATTTTAGCCAAAAGAAAAAGAAAAAGAAAAAGAAAGAATTTCAATTTTTCTCTAGTAGGTAAAAATTTAAGACATTTTTAGTATTTTGTTAATCATATTGTTATCAAAAGTCAGAGACAATTATCAAAACTTATTAGTTCTAAATTTTGATCTTCAAATATTTTGTTAGAAAAAGTATTTACAGCTGAATAATACTGTGACTCTGTTTAACAGGGTTTTTAAATATTAATCAAAGCTTAATTAATACTCGATTAATAATTAACAAAAGTGCGCTTTAAACATAAACTTCAGAATTTTTAAAAAACAGTGCATTTTATAGAACAGATTTTGTTTTATTAAACGATATCTTATACACTCTTGTACAATGTATTCCTCATTCGATACAATCCTTTTATCTTTGATCATGAATTCTAAGGATTACTTTCAGCTATTTTTCGCTTGCTTTATATCATTAATATATTCAAAGTGTTTTATTTGATGAGGAAGATATTGCACAGAAGTGTACAAGATTTCATTGAATACAAAAAAGTCTACTCTACAAACTATACTATTTTTCAAAGTTCTGAAGTTGATGCATAGAACGAAATGTTTTAGAATTACTCATAGAGTATTAATTAACTTTTATTTTGTGTTTAAAAATATCCTATTATGCAGAACTATTGCAAAACAAAAATGCACAGTATTATTCGGTTTTCAATGCTCTTTCTAACGGCATACTTGAAGATCAAAATTTATCTATAAGTAGATGATTATAACTGGATCAAATTCGGCAGTTTGCATGAAGAAAATTTATATTTAATTCAATAGCTTCTTAATCATACAAGAGATCACAATAATTCTTTCAAAGTTAAATATAGTGAAGAATTCATTTTTTGAACTGCTGTAGGCATTCATTTTCATGAAGAATGTATTGAGATTATGATCAAAAATTAGTAAAATAATTTATTTGTTTAGTTTCGTACTTACTGTTTCATCTCTTACGAGGAAAGTTCCTCAAGTGATCAATCGCTTTTTCTTAGAAATACACATGACTGTATGCAGAACACTGCGCTAGTTTCAAATGCCAGGGTTTTAGCAGTCCTTCGGCCTTTCTAGATTTTGTATCATTGCTCTGAACTCTTTTTGATGGAGATGTTTCTCATCAGCTCCAATATTTTAATTAGTCTACGATATACCACTAGACAAAAAGTCCACAGTAGTACTTGTTTTTTTTTTAAAGACATTTCAATCTTAAATTTCAAATGCGAAGCTAGAAAGCAATGAAGTAATTCGTATATTGACTACAAAAAGTCAGCTAATATTTGTTTTCGTTTCATCATCATATATTCACCAATTAAACAAAACTGCACTATATTCAGCAAAGTATATAATAATGGAAGATATAGAAAATACGCATGCTAATTTCTCAAAGTATACAACATTCACACTATGATAACGTATTTTCAAACAAGTGATAAATTGAGCAAGATTATGTAATTCAATAAACATGATAAAATTATTTCTTTATCCTTTCATTATATGAAAAATATTAACCTTATAAGAACACTTTTGCATATTTAGTCTTTTTCTGTCTTACGGTTCATCTTAGCATTTGAAACTTAATGTTGAAATGTCTATAAAAAAACTATTCCTGTGGATTTCTTTGTCTATAGAGGCACATGATAAACTAATTAAAAGATTGAATTTAATAAGAAACCTCCATATTAGAAGGGGAGGGGAGGAGTCAAAAGCTGCACGATCGCTAAGATCCTAATATTCAGAATCAGCGCAGTGGACACCATACAGTTATATATAATTCTATGAAAAAGCAATTGATCACTTGGGAAACTTTCCTCGTTAGACCTAGATGATCTCGTTAAAGCTAGTATAGGTCTATTTACAACGGATAGAACCCAATAGTGATACAAACAGGATTTTGTTTTCATTTATATCGATCAGCATAGGAGAATAAATCTTATTACAAAATCTCTTCGGAGATCATCATTCTAAAGATATGAATTTTAGTTCTATAGAATTGAGGTCATTATTTACAATATTTCTTCTCAAGAAAGTCTAAAATATGTTATTCAACTCAGTAGTAGCAAAGCGCTTCAGTGATTCAACGCGTTTTATTCATAGTAAATTTTTCGAACCAGATTACAAAAGAATTTTCAAAAAACGAAATATTCATTGTAAACTCAAATTTCTTACTTCCTCGACAATTAATCTCACGTCAGCGTTTTGAAATAATGACATCTATAGAAAATGTTTCAATGATTGGTTAATAGTCCTCCATCGACCAACTTTCTCGTTGCTCTATTCTAATCATCCCCGTCCGATTTGTGTTTATTTCTTCTCCTGTCGTTTTTGCTCGAGTCTTGTGTTCGTGTCTATATGTGCATCTCGTAAGTGTGCGCACCTTGTCGATTATTGATTTCCTTTAAGTAGAATATTTATTTTCGAAATTGGCATGAGTTTTAATTTCTAAAACCTAAAATGAGTCAAATAAGGCAAACGTCTGGTTTAACGACGTCAACATCTCATTATACGTCATCAAGAACAACCAATTCCCCATCAATAAAAGCTCTTCAGCTTGAATATTCTAAATTACAAAAAGAACCTGTCGAAGGTTTTACTGTCAAACTAGATGACGATTCAAATTTATATAAATGGCATGGTAAAGATCTTTGTTTTTGTTTTTCTCAAAATATATTTTAAAATAAATTTCATTTCTTAGTTGGAATTTTCGGACCACCGGATACTTTATATGAAGGTGGTTATTTTAAAGCTGATATGGAATTTCCAACGACATATCCATTTGCTCCACCAAAAGTAAGATAAAAAACAAACGTGAATCTTTTGTTATCATGACATTTTTTCATTTAGGTCCGTTTTCTAACGAAAATGTGGCATCCAAATATTTATGAGTAGATTTACTAAAAGAAAAAAAAGGTCATGTTTTTATTTTAATTTGTGCTTTGTTTTTTTGTTTTTTTAGAAATGGTGAAGTGTGTATTTCAATTCTACATCCTCCAACTGAAGATCCTCAATCAGGTGAACATCCAAGTGAACGATGGAATCCAACACAAAATGTTCGAACAATTTTAATGTCAATAATAAGTTTATTAAATGAACCAAATTGTTCATCACCTGCTAATGTTGATGCAAGGTATATAAATATTTTTCAGAATGAATTATTTTATCTTTTTTCTTTCTAAGTGTAATGTATCGAAAATATAAAGAACATAAAGATAATGAATATGAAACAATTATACGTCGACAAGTTAATGAATCGAAATTAGTAGCTGAACAAGAAGGTGTATCAATACCAAAAACACTTGATGATTATGTTGCACCATCACGTGCTGGTGCAACAGGAAATAAAAATAGCAAAAAATCAATTTTTAGTTCTATATCACATGAAAATGATGATGATTTAGGAATCAATGTATGTTTTTAAAATTAAATAATAAACAAAAAAGAAATTTATTCTATTCTTTTATTTTTTTGCTTTCTAAAGGATGATGATGATCAAATGGCTGATATGGCCGAAGACGATGATGATGGTTATTACAATGACAGCGATTAAAAGTAAACTGTGATTTAATTAATATGACATATGTTAATGCTTTTTGTCTTACAATCAAAGGCGTGTCTTTACTTTTCTTTTTTTTTCGTTTTTTTCATTGTATCTTCGTTCTCTGTAGATTTCAAAAAACAAAATTTAACTAAAACGTTTTTTCTTTTCTTTTCTCTTTCATTTATATATAAAATCTTGAGGTGCTCACTTGAATGTTATAATTATTCTAGATAATGTCATCAGATTCTGTATGTTTATTATCATCACCAGATCGATCAAGTTCACCATCATTAATAGATCAGATTGTTAATGATTGTGTAACAACAAATCAGATATTTCATGATTATACCGGTTCATTAATACAACAACCACGATCGCCTGGAAAACGACAATTAACTATTGAAGAATCACTTATTACAACTAATGATCCTAAACGTCTTTGTAACAGGTAAGACAAACAAAAACCAATAACAACAATAATAAACCGATATAATATATATGTATAAAATTATACATGCAAAAGAATATTTAAGATATGACGCAAATGAATCAATAGCTTAACATATAATAAATAATGTATCGAGTAAAAGAGAAAAAAAGAAAAGAAAAGAAAAAGTACTTTCTGTGGTAACTATACGATTAAAAAGAAATAAGTCAGTAAATGCTTTCTGTACAGTCGTTTACCTTAATAATCGATAAAGATAAACGAAGGTGTTACTTTTATGCTAATGAACTATAATGTGCAAGGTTTTTTTTTTCTTGTAAAAATAGTATTTTACATTAAAAATGAACATACAAACATACTGTATTTTTAATCAAAAATGAAAAGTTCTTTCCTTCTTTTTTCTAGTAATTTTCGAGAACAGACTGATTTGAAAATAACTACACCAAATAATATAAATAGCCCATCATCATTATCATCATCTATATCAAATTCCATTGATTCTCTATCAATTCCATCCTCACCACCATTATCGGCCAATGTAATTAATTGGTTAGCAGTTTTTTGGGCTATGTCAAATGATGATCGTAGTCGTGCAACTGAAGCACTTATACGTACATGTTCAACAAATACTCTTCAATTGAATTATATTAGAAATCAAATAGAACCTTATTTTCAACGTGATTTTATTCGTGATCTTCCACGTGAATTAGCATTACATGTATTGAAATATTTACCAGCTCGTGATGTTGCACGAGCATCACGTACATGTCGTGCTTGGTATGAAACATGTAATGATATATTATTATGGAAACGTTTATGTAGAACAAAATCTATACCATTAAAAATTTCACAAACTATATTTGATGATATTATTGATAATCAATGGAAACGTTCATATGCATGTCATAAACATTTAGAATATGTATGGCAACATGGACAACCATTACCTGAACCATTAACATTACGTGGTCATGAAGATTTTGTTATAACTTGTTTACAATTTGATGGAAAACGTATTGTATCTGGTTCTGATGACAATTCATTAAAAATTTGGTCGGTTGCTACTGGACAAGTAAAGTGTTGAAATTTATTTTATTTTATTTTTTTTGAAATATTTCTATTTTAATTTATTATCTTTAGTGTGAACAAACATTAATTGGACATAATGGTGGTGTATGGTGTAGTGAAATGACAGATGATTTAATTGTTAGTGGAAGTACAGATCGAACAATACGTGTATGGAATATTAATACAGGTGTCTGTCAACATGTACTATATGGACATACATCAACAGTACGTTGTTTGGCATTACATGATGATATTGTTGTATCCGGGTCACGTGATGCAACTGTTCGGTAAGGATTTGAAAAAAATAATAGAAGTACAGTATAAGCTCTCTAAAGTGGATATCCTTCGGATTTTCTAAGCGTCCACTATATAGAGGTTAAGTTTTTTCTAGACACAGGTTCTTTTTAAAAGAGAACAGAAGCGTTTTTTAGGTATCTGAAGGGTGTTAGTGAATAAAAAAAATTAATTATTGCTCACGGCTACTTGTCTTTTCATGCATTTTTGTTATTAGAAAATGAATAATTATTAAAGAATATAGTGAAATTTCCCTGTTGTTGACACCATTGGAACTTTTCAAAAGTGTTCACCATAGAACTATATGAAAATGTCTACTATGGGAAGTTTTACTGAATCCTGTTGTTGTTTTTCTATTTCAGTGTATGGAATATTCGTACAGGTGAACGTCTTCACATGTTAAGTGGTCATACAGCAGCTGTACGATGTGTTTGTTATAATGGAAAATATGTAGTATCAGGTGCATATGATCATACAATACGGGTATGGCTACCTGATCAAGAACGATGTGTACACACACTTGAAGGACATACAAATCGAGTATATTCACTTGTCGTATGTTATTAAAAAAAGAAATTTTTTTCTGTTTTTTTTTTAAATTCTTTTTCTTATGTAAATTTAGTTTGATGGTAAACATATTGTATCGGGTTCATTAGATTGTATGATACGTGTATGGGATGTGGAACAAGGTACATGTATACATCAATTAACTGGTCATTTATCATTAACAAGTGGTATGCAATTACGTGGAAATATTCTTGTTTCTGGTAATGCAGATTCAACTGTAAAAATTTGGAATATTGATTCTGGAAAATGTTTGCATACGCTTGCTGGTTAGAAAAAAATCTCTTAGTTGAATAATTAATTTTAGATTTAAAAAAAATTCTGTTTTTTTCTTTTACAGGACGTAATAAACATGCATCAGCAGTAACGTGGGTTCAAGTTGTACTTAATTATGTTGTTAGTTCAGGGGATGACGGAACTGTTAAATTATGGGATTTAGCAACAGGAGATTTTATTCGAAATCTTGTTACACTTGAATCAGCTGGAAATGGAGGTAAGAAGAAATATTATTGCATGAGTGAAAGTAGTGATGAAGAAAAATGTCAATTTGTGCTCGTAAGATATATCTGAGTAATTAAATTAATATTACTCTATCAATTCAGAAAGATCTAATTATTGAATTCGAAAATTTTCTTACGATCAAAATTAATATGAAACTTGTAATCATGATTACGAAGAATTTTTGAAGTATTTAATTATTATGATTATAAATTTTCATTTTGTCATGGATGCGATCGTTTATTGAGTTTTACAAGGAACAGAAAGCAATGTTTATCTAGGCTTTAAATAGATTAATAAACTATCATTGAAGACTTCCATTGAAGTAATTTTTTTAAGAATGATTAGATCTTTCTAAACTTGTCTACTAGTAAATTAGATTGAATATTACAGGTTTTGTTTTTGAATGGTGAATTTTATTCTTTGATATTTATTGTACAAACTGATGTACTGTGTGCCCAAGAAATAGCTTAGTTAAACAGAATTTAAATATCTTCATCGTGTTTTAAGAAAAATTCACAAATAGTATTTATAGTTATCAACTTTGATTGAAATACAAAAATTAATTTTTTTTTTCTCAGATCTACAAAAATTGTTATGATAGTGAAGTGTCTAAAATGATAAAAACGTTTTGAATCTATCTTTTGCCCTGTAGTAGGAAATCACTACATCAGAATAGCTTTCAAAGGAATCATATTGTTGTCGATTGTTAATTGGGTTATTAAATTTTTACTAAATTTCCTACAGTACAGCTCTATAACGAGTTTTTATAGATTTGAATGAAAAGTAATCAGAAAAACAAGCAGAAAGCCTAGAAGAGTAAAAAAACAAGGAAAATTCCACAAGTGCAAAAAGAATCTATTGGAACTTTGGAATCCAATACACAAAACTGTCGCTTAGCCTAGTTTGCGTATGAAATTTCTGACTCTTTGAATGTAGTCCTTCCAAAATATAAGGTTTTCAAAATTCCTATTAAATTTGATAGCTTTTACGAGAATAAAAACTCAGAAGTCTTTCCTGTCATAAAAGAAAAAAGGAATTATTTAATTTGGTTATGACATAGTGAAGATATTCAAAGTGGTAGATTATTTGTTGAACATCCTGTATTTTGGAGACTCGATTGATGTCTCATTAGAGCTTTACAAAGAAGAGAAGAAGTCTGAGTTAAAGAGGTTGACTCCGAGTTTTTTTCATGGGCATTGTTCTCGAGGAGATACCTATCGAATTCCGAAAATATATCCGTTTATGCAGTGAATACCAAAGAATAAAACTCACAATTCAAAAAACCTCTTGTGTTAAATTTGGTTTATTAGCAAGCCATTTAGTTGACTCCAGTGTGTAGGTCTCTAATTATGATTGAGTTAAAGAATATTTGGAAGTAGAATTATTGAGCTATAATGCGATATTTCTCATTTTTATAGGTGTTGTCTGGCGTATAAAATGTACAGATTCCGCATTGGTATGTGCAGCTGGAAGTCGTAATAGCACTGAAGATACAAAAGTGATTATGCTCGATTTTGATCGTACGACGATCTGTTCATAGTGTATTTGAATTTGTGTGTGTGTTTCTCCTACGTTTTTTCCTTTAATTATATGTTTTTTTAGAACGTTTGTCAAATGTCTATATAGTATACATATATTTCCTGGCTCAGTTTCTTTTCTCTTTCATTTGTATTATGTCTTTTGTTATCTTGTTGTTGTTCATTTTTTTTTCCTTTGGTTTTCTCAGTTTATTTTTTTTTCTCATTGATTAATTTTGTTGTGTGCCAACTGTTCAACTTTCTTTCGTTCTCGTCAGTCTTTCTTCTTCTCTGTATTTACATTGTCCTTTGTCTTCTTTTTATAAGTATATATATATTATTATTATTATTATTACTATAATGATCATTATCTCGTCATATGAACGTTCTTTGTATTATGTCTTCGTCGATCTAGTAAGGAGAAGAAGAACTCGACATAAACATATATATATGTATGAAAAAGAAAAATCAAATAAAATTGAACTAACTGTTTTTTTTATACATAGAATACTAAGACTGAAGCAATAGGATTTCGATAAAATTTGTTTTGTTTTAATTTAGAGATAAATCAATAGAATTATTTTTTGGAAAGAGAAAATTATCTTATTATTTTTGAAATAAAATTTTGTTTTCGCAAAATTTTATACATTTTTCATTCATAATTAAAGTTTATTGGAAATGTAGATGCTAAAATATCATAATTTAAAGTAGAACTACATATAAGAACAGTGACAATAATTTTCACTTGAAAAATAGATTCGTAAAATCTTAAAGTTATTTTCAAGGCAGATAAATTGTTTTGAACATACAAATATTTCTAACAAGGTTTTTAAACTATTCGCAAAAAAAAACTTGTTGAAGACACTTTAGATTCAGCTGTTAAAATCACATTCTTTTTCCATTTTACTGTATTTAGATGCGTACAGTTTTAATGTACTGACTAACGACTGAATATGTAATCAGTATTTACACCAACACTGCACATGCTTAACTATATTCGTGATATCATTTCTATATAAATAATTAAATGTCATTTACATTTCAATGAAAAGGTAGTTCAAATCAAAGTACAATGCTTTTCAAGGTTCAGTCTATTACCTTACTTATCAAGGATATTTTGTCTAGACATTATGTTGTGACATAAACGAGTGTTATCATTGAAAAGAATATTTCTAACTTTGGACATTTGTTTTATTATATATTGTGTTTGGATTTCAACTATAAGGAACTAAATAGATGATTTCATGAGATACCGGATGTGACAAAAGTTTTGCATGTAACTATATTCAGGAAGATGATAAAACGATAATCTTTTTTTTTCCTCAAAAGATGCACCATTGAATGTTCTAGTCGGATCACGAAACCAAATTTTTATAGCTATTTTTGAAAATTATAGTAGACTGCTAACACTGAACAAGTGTATTATCGTGTAATTACTTACAAGGAAAGATAAGAGATAGCCGAACGTTGTTGAATTTTGGTTTTGATGATTATTATTCATTCATTTGTGGCTATAATATTTAGAATCGATTAGAAATCTAGTATAGTATTCAAAGCATAAGAATTACTACTCGTTCTAATCTCAAATACAAGTGAAAGATAACATTTGTGTGAATTGATCTAAATGCTTCGTCCTGAAGTAAAATATGTTGGGTTTTTACTGTGTTCCTGTCAAATATATCGTCTAAAAATGGTCAGCTCGATGTACAAATTACTAGATTAAACTTTCTCGAATGTTGAAGGAAATAGTAAAAAAAAATAAAAGAAATTAATCTTAACAAAATAACACAATGAGAAGTTGACTTCAACTGAAGATGATGAAAATATGTTGAGAAGAAACTTTTTTTTATAGTACCTAGGACAGTTCATTTTATCTAATATTGATTCGATCAAAAATGACTTCGTCTGTCAATCACAAAGTGGACTTTTCCGATTTTTCTTTGCGTGAAATGATACAATGACACCTCATGTATTCAATGTTAGTAGTTTATGAAAATGTCGAAAATAGCTTTGAAGATTTGGTTTATGATCTGAACAAGGAAAGAGAAATAGATTATACCGTATATTACGTTGTCATCTCAACTTCTAATCTTATTAGTCTAATTTTTGCAAAATATTATTGTGCATTTAATTTTTCTAATACTGGATATTGTTTATAATTAGTGTCAAAAAAGTAAGTGAGATCGACGGATAAAATGAATAGTGAATGATAGATAGTATTAGAGACAAGCAAACAAATAGAGACAATAGGAGAATAAATACGACAATTAATGACCTTGATTAGTTTCTTAGCAAATGAGTAATACGAAAAGCTATCATTACAGCATGATAATATAAAAATGAACATAATGTATTGTGCACAAAGATAAAATCAAACTAGAAGACGCATAACAAATAATAAATAGTTTTTCTATGCTACATTCACTTTTTATGAAACTAAAACTCTTTTTAGGGAAAAGAAATCCTTGTGAAAAAAGAAACAATAATGTTATATTTCCTTGGTTCTCAATCTCTTCAGAATAGAAACTTTCAAATTGTGATCCGGTGATTTCTCTAGAGTAAAGACAAAAAGATCAATGACACTTAAATAGAGTATTCACTAAACAACATATATTAATACTCTAAATATAGCTTTTTCATGAGAATTTTGTGTTATGAGACAAAAGGTAGATTCAAGCAAATATTTTTCCAATGTCGCAGACGATATTCTCTTGCTACTTCGAAGCCATTTTGATTTACTAATAACTTCTGGATAATCATTCAAAGAAAACAGAGATTAGTGGAATACGAAATCAAATGAATGAATTTCTAGATTAGAAATCGAATCATAATAAAGATCTATGAGAAATAATAATGAGCCCTGGTTCTTTAAAAATAATCAAAAGAAATTATGAAAATAAGAAAAGTGCTTCTTACGAAAAATCATGTACACTCTTCGATCGGATATTCAGGATAAGAGCATTTGAGGCTCATGGTTCTATATTTGACGTATAATTTAGTCAAATGTTACTATGTTTATCCATGTCTGAAATAACAAGTTATTAAGAATAGAACGGATCGTTTCCAATGTGCCAGTTTCTTTGAAGTTCTTTTTTTAAACTAATTTTCATCCATTTAATATAACTTAACATTCTGAAGATAAGACAATGAAACGAACCTCTTCATGAGACTGTTTAATTAGCAATGCAACAATAATTTTCATCTATTTTAATTCTTTTTAAATATACTTATCTGTTCTCTAATATTCACTATAAGCTTCTTGTCTATTATTATAGTCTTACTGTTAAACAAAAAACTAGCATTTCTAATAGTCACTAAAAGACAAGTCTCTTTTGTTTTGTTCAGTCTATGCTTATGTAAATATTTCTAATTATAAATTAGTGTAAGAAGTACCTAGAAATTTCATGTTAACGATATGAACACAATGAACATTGTAACCTAAAAAACGTACCTAGATATTTCCATAGAACTAATAGGTGTTTCGAACGAGATTTTCTTTATCATTCTAAAAATAAAAATATAATAAGCATGATAATTCTTGTCACAATTAACTTTTATAACTGAATAAACTTTACAGAGATGATTCATTTATCTCGATATATTCTTAATTATTTAATTCTATGTCATTGATCTTTATCTTGAGCAGGTCTTATCTTGTTAAAATATACCAACAAAAATTATTTTTAAGATTCTTATTCTTACAGAAGAAATCCAGTGCATTCCGTCATCATTTTCACAAAGAAAAAGTTATAAAAATATTTTTGGTATTTTTATCATTGTTAACTAAAAAATTTACATTTACTTTGATTTGAGACGTTTCGAACAATGTCATAAACTATTCTTCAAATTAATTTATCACCTAACAAATGAATATTTATATTGAAATATATGTATTTGATACAGGTTTTATTGGTAGATTATTGAGTAGAATTATTTTTTACAACATTAAAAAAACATTTCGGAAAACATTATGTGGATTTTATTTGACAATTACTTCAATATTCAATGTTATTTATCTCACATATAGATTATAGTCTTTTAAAATTGGTACACTTCTTGTAGAAGTAGCGTCACAGGTGGTAGAGTGTAGTCGAACCCTCCTGAAAATTTTCAAAATTGTTGCTAGCGGTGATTCCACAAGAAGTCTAAGAAAGTCGCAGCCCTTCCTCCCTGACTCCACTGTTAACTTCTTGCACAATTTTGTGTCTTACTTTCATTAAACAAAATATCTTTGCTAACAATCGATCAATTTTTATCAATGACTACTTAACGACATCTTGATAATTTAATATTAGCTTGTTATCAAGGTGTAAGTGCTTGTTGTGTTAGGTTTTTTAATGAAATATTGGCTTTCTTTTCTATTGGAATGCCCTTGCTGGTGTATGTACAATAATTAGATTAGGTCATAAAAAATATGTTTCTTATTCTTACCTGCCTGTTCTTGTTGAATGTTTTTGTCTATATGTATTATCGTTACATATTGGTCATTACCATCATTTAATATCTATACTTTAGCTATTTCATCAAATCAATATTATTCGCGTTTCAGTTGTGAGCATCAGTTGGCAGCTATGACACTTCTACACGTGATGTTTTTTTATATTTATTTCTGTAATTTCTATAGTTTGTATTATGTATGATTTAAATACAGTTGTAACAAATCAAGAAGATCTTGTTCATTATCTATTATTTGTTGAAGTCATCGTTTTGTTATATTACGAAAGTTTTGCAGTGAATAGTGTAAAGGAAGTATTCTACTGCATAATTGATTTGTTTTTAGAATCGATTTTATATAATTTTGTTTTGTATTAAAACTCTTTCAACAATAGCTGATGTATATACTTTTTAAAATACATTTGAATTAATTGAAGACACTATCTAGCAAATTGAAGGCTAACCTAATCATGCCTGCTGTAAAGTCAGTAATAAATCGATAGATTGAAAGTTCAAAAATGATTATTTATAATAGTTCACTTCGAACATTATAGAAGACTGCAGATAAAAAAAAGGTAAGTCTACATTTTCAATTTTCTATGATATATCATTTTGTGTCAAGGTGTGTTTTTTTCAATAGGTCTGATAAGTATGTCGCAATGTTCATTATTCCAAGAAGACATACTCAAATGCACATCTATGCATGTGTGTTTTCTCCTCCTCCTCCTCCTCCTCTTTTTTTTTGAGTATGAGCTAACTGAGCCATCTTGATATACGTGTCAAGTTGATGTTAAGTGGAGAGCAATTGTTTAATTTAGTTCATTTGTACAGTAGTACTACCTGAATTATATTCGAGCAGATAAGTTGATCACACTGGCAGCTGCCAAGAGAGAAGACATGGATAGTTTTCTATATATATTCAATTGGTTAAAGTATAGTCTCGTATACGAGTACTTGAGATAGGTTAGTCTGTCTTATTATGTGTGAACGATCAAATATTGTGATATAGAAAAAAGGAAAAGGACATACTTCATCAAAATAAAATGCCATAATCGAAATATGCAAGGAAATAAATCTGCAATATTGTCAAAGATGAATTTTACGATCGATACGTTTTTCTTTCACTAATTAAAACTAATAACAATTGTCATACTGCATTGATCATATTTGAAACAAATGAATGCTCTTTCTACCAAACTAACTAATTTAAAATATGAGTTGCTTGTAGCGTACATGCATCGAGAAAATCTAATATCAAGGTATTTATAGTCCACCTCATAAAGCAGTACTTTAAAATTTAAGCAGCATTTATTTTTCCTTTTTTTCGTCTTGATTGAATCGAGTTCTGCAAGTTACATAATAAAAAATAATATCAGATATTCAAAAGCAATTTTACAGACAAGTTCAAAATACCATTACAGTCAAATATAGGAGTAATGGAAACAAAATCCCAACTTTTGTACAATCACTTTTGAATATTTGTGATATTGTTCTTTTCTTATATATTTCATCGAGCTCTATCCAAGCATGACCAAAAAAGAAAACAAAATGTTGCTAAAATCTTGAAATGTGATCAAATAACGTAAACACCTTGAAACTCAAATTTCTCGGTCCATGCGCACTATGGACAATTCTTTTTAAATTAGTTAGTTTAAAAATGCTAATGCGAACATGTCGTTCTATCTCTATGCTTAAAGTTTGAAAGAATTAAAACCTATACAATACATGAAAAAAGTGTTAGCACACTCTCTGCGAAATTAAAATGTCAACCACGATGTAGCTGCTATTGTTAATCACGGATAGATTATTTTATTCTATCTATTTTGAAAAAAATTTCTTCATCGTGCTTTTATTTAATCTTCCAGAAATGAAATAAGGAAGTGGTATATCTATAATAATGAGACGTTCAAATTAGAAGAACACATCAATTTAATTAAATCTAAATCCTTTCTCCTTGTAAAATTTTATCAATTATGATTTAATATTTAATCTAAACACAAAAAAACTTTAAATTTATTAAAACAATAATAATCATGATATACATTTCGATGAATATTGAATTAGTCTTTTGTGTGTGTGTATGTGTTTTATTTGACAAAATACAAATATATTATTATAAGCAAGATGAAGAATGATGATGACCTTTTGCAGCATCAAGCATATCAAACATAAGATTAATATAATCAATCGCTGATTTAAGTGTTTCTGAACGTGATAATTTATTTCGTGCAAATTCCGTTACTGGTAAAACTTTTCTTAAATCTTCAAATGCTCGATTAAGTTTAAGCATACGTCGTTTTTCACGTTGTGTTGCTTCAGCACGTTGAACACCATTTAAAACACGTTTTCGTTTTCGTTTTGATCCATTTGGACGTGTTGGTCGACGTTGATCTGTTGTTGTTATTTTATTATTATTATTCGTTGAATTATTATTTATTCGTTTTGGTAAATGATATGTTGAATCAGTATCATCATCATCATCATCATCATCATCAGAACCATCTTCTAAATCATTTTCATCATTATCAGAATTGCCTACTGTTGTTTGATAAGGTAAATAATATGAATTTCCATTTGTATTTTCAATTGGTAAACGATAAACATCCGAAACTAAATCTCCATTATTTAAATGATATGTTGCTAGAAGATGAGATGGAGGTGATGTATGATGATGAGGATTATGTTCATTATCAGATAATCCATTAAACCATGTATTAGAATTTGAATAAACTGATGGATGTTGATAAGTAACTGACGGAAGTGAAGTCGAAGAAACAGGACCTAGGTCCTCATATTGTGGATAATAAGCCAGTTTTTTGTTTGTTTATTTTTTGATCGAGCTAAAACAAAAAAGAAAACAAAAGAATTTTATTAGGATTAATCTTGGAATTTTCTCTTGAATTTTCTTTATGATTAATACGGCATCAGTTTGTTCTCAAACACTCAGAAACCTGTTGCGCTCGACGATAATAATAAAAAAAAAGGCCAAGGGAGAGGGGAGCATCATCAAGAAAATATGATTTTCGTCCAGTTGTTACCTTAGTTGTATACGATTGTTGTAGAAAATGAAGTGCGTGATTTATAAAAGAAGAAAATAAAAGGTGAATGGGTTGATTGGATAGAAAAAAAAAGAAAATATGTCATTCATTTTATCATATTCATTTCCTATTGGATATTTTTACCTGAGAAGAAAATTCAACCAATGTATATATTTATTTTCTCATTTGATATTAAGATTTTTTTTTGTATTCATTCGTCTGTCGGATTGATCTATTGAAAAAAAAAAGAGAAAAGACAATGACAATGACAATGACAATGACAATGGTCACAGCTTGTCATTTGATAAAAAAAAACGATTTTATGGCATCAGCAGTGCATCTCTTTATTTGACAAATAGCTTTAGACATTAAAATAAAAATGATGTAATGATATAAGACAAAATGTCCAGATACGGTTAACTAAACATAATAATGGCCAAGCAATATGAACATCAATTTAATGCTAGTAGAAGAAGAATACATACATACACACACCTGTATCGATAAATGATTTTTGAACTTTTTCTTTTGATCTTTGAATATAAAATTGAATTTTTCCTGGTCAATTAATTCAAGAGTTTTGCGCGGCATTAAGTAGCATATCATTTCTTTCTCATCATGAAAAATACTTTAAACAAGTCACAGCAGGTCCACCAAGAAAAAAACGCTTCAATGAACACTATACACACGCGCGTGTGAGATATTATATATATATATTTTAATCAATAAGAATGTCAACGATAGAGGATATAAAACAAAAAAAAGGTGAGCAAAATAAACAGCCGTAAGGATAGAAAATTGATTAAACAGATTTTGTTTTCTATTCAATAACAACACTTCCAGAACTTGTTGGTGTATCATCACACATCGATGATGAATTCATTTGATAAGTAAATGTATCTGTCCATTGACTTAAAACAACTTTTGCATTCAATGAAGCTTCATCAACTGTTTTACCACTTAAAACAAGTTCAGTCATAAATGCAATATAAATAATTGCAAGACGCAATGTTTCAATACGTGATAATTTTTTTTCATATGCAAATATCGGAACTATTTCACGTAATTGATCAAAAGCTTCGTTTAAACTAAACATACGTTTACGTTCACGAACATTTGCAGCACGACGTTGAGCTAAACTAGCTATACGACGTCGTTTAGGTTTTGTTTTAACATTACGATTTGTTGTTATTGATTGATTATGTATAGATGAGTTTATTGAAAGATTATTTGATGTTGTTTCAGACCAATTTGAATAAAATTGATAATATTGATGAGAATATGAATCATTAGTTGTTGATATTTTTTGTTGTGAACAATGAAAATCATCCATAAATGATGTTAAAGATGATGATGTTAATGATGAAGAACCTATATTCGCTAGGTTTTCATTGGTATCATCATCAGCGAACATCATCATTGTAAACGAAGGTCGAATGAATGATGAAGAAATACTATGAAAAGCAATGATTATAGTTTGATGTAAAACTGTTTCTAGGATTGATCAAGCTGACGCCTTGTATTCAACAACAAAACAATGGTATGTTACTGACTTTTATACAATCAATTTATTTTAGTAAATACTTTTAAGTTTTCTTTCTTTTTTTTCTATAACTTAATATTATATAAGATCTCTTTAGCTTATTTTCGGTTGTAGCTGTATATGTGAATATGCGAACTGTAGAATATCGTTACAGACTTATTTCAATTTGATGTTAGCAAAGAATATAAATTATAAGCGAAAATTGATGATTCCTTTGATAAAGTGATTAGCGGTTTCGCTGCGTTGCTTCTTTTGAAATTCTTCGACAATATTAAAATTGACCTATGAACACGTGTTTTATTGGTGATAAAAAAAAAAAAAGATTGATCAGTTTGAAGAAAATTTTTTCGAATTATGGCGTATTTACAAATCGAATGGAGTCATTTAAGAATTTACCAACACAAAAAATCCATACTAGACGTGCATAGGTTTCTCGAACAAATTGCTTTCCGTATAATCATTGATGGATAAAACAGAAACAAAATATTATTAAATAATTAACTTTCTGAAAGATGTTTATATTAGAATATGATGAAATGCCATTATTTCTGTAAATTGATATTATCTACAAGTTTTAAAGATATAGCTACAGTAGTTAAATATAAATTTAGTGTTTTCTCAAATGAACTCTTCTCTTAATTCATATTTTTGTTTTTGAATGGTGCAGGATACATTGACTGTAATTTCGATATAATGTTACTCATATTTACGATGTAATATATAATGTCTAAATTTTTCTTCATTGTTTTTTTCTGTTTTGTCAGTTTTAGTATTACTAATAATTAAACTGTAATGCTATTTTTTTCAATGCTAAGAAGCAATAAACATACATGAAAGAAATCATTGAATTATTGTCAGTATTATACAAAATAATGTTCATCCAAAATAAATAATTTCTAAGACTTATTCTTGTTAAATGCTAATTTTTCAATTTATTTGATTTTCGAACTAGAACACATATAAAAGCATAATCTAATTTTTTTGTCTTTTGGATGAATATTTTTACCGATTGACTCCCAGCGGCGTATAAATACGTCTGAATGCAGTTATGAAACAAAGATATCACAAGAATATGCTGTAGCTATTTGAAAAAACTTTTTATCGTTCTCACAAGGACTGCTTGAAGAAAAAGACATTTGACTGAATATTCTAAACAGCCTCAAAGAAAATGCGTGGTTTAAACATTTCATAATCTTCAACAGGATACACGATATATATGTGTCGTGATTGTAATGTATCTCTATGTATTTTTGATTGCTTTAAAGATTATCATACAAAAATGAACTACTAATGTCATTTTTGTTTGATACAGAATTGTAATTTCTTTCAAAAACTAAATAAAAATCATATTTAAATCTTCTTTATAAAAATTTCGATTTTCGCAAAAGAAAACCGGGAATCAAAGAGTTACGTTTCATATTCATAGATTTGATAGAGAGTTGCTGACGGTTGATCAATATCTTATCTTGATATCTATTGATTTGATGATATCGATATAACGAATTTTACTAGTTGAATCTTGCTCATCATATTTATTACCAATGCCATAATTATTAAATTTCTTTTCTAATGATTAATAATATCTGGACGAAAAACGTCTGATTACTGAATTATGATACAGAAGAAATTATGGTTCAAATCATTCTTTTAATAAAAACGAAAAAATTTTTTTGAAATAAAATATCTTAGCTCCTATAGGTATATAGTCAAATCATTCATAAATTTCAAATTTAAAGCAAACGAATAAGTCATTAAATCGTATTTTTATTTATTGAAGAGAAAAAAAAACCGACATTATAAAATAAAATTCAAACTGAAATAATTGTCATATTAATCATCTTCTTATGAAGAAATTGATCGTTTTTTAAGTCCAGTAACTTTATTGTAAATTCGGTCGCTTACTTCATCAGCTGATGGTAGTTTTGGTAATTTTGGTAACTTAATATTTGGTTTTAGATCACCAAATGTATCAAGACCCATACCAATTTCATAATTTTTAAATGCATCCCATGTATCTAAATCAGGACAATTACGTTGTGTACCTTTATTACGATAAATTGGATTGCTTGGTTCACATCGTTCTTCACTTTAAAAAATAAAAATAATTTTCATATGAATACATTGAATTTTGTTCATGAATCAAATATCAACACTTACTAATCTTCTTTAGCTTCACGTTTTTGTTCTTCACATTTGGTTAAAGTAGGATGAAAGATTGTTCGTCGAAGAAACTCAAGAGCTTCCGAACGATCTAGAATAGATAGATGAAATAAAAAAGATTATGAACGAAAGTAAATGAGATATTTATATGTATGGTGAATCAAACAAAAAGTAGAATAATATACATAATGAGTCGATATATATCATCAAAATGTGAGATAAGAAAATTATTTATCTGTCAAACAAATTGTCATTTATTATTATTGGCACTTTGTTTTTTCACTAGTACCTAGTAAAATTACTCCAGTGATAATGTTTCCAATGATTTTTTTTTCATATTCATAACTTTTCATGTTTATTTACTAAAGGTATCTAAATTAAAACTATCTCTACCATCAATTGCATACGTATAAAATTCATTTCATTCACTTAATATCACGAAAAAATCGATTATTATTATAATCACATCATCATCACATTAATAGTTTACATCTTTTGTTTAGTAAATTTACAATACAAGATTTGGCTTATCAGCCAAATGGATATAATATTATAATGTCCTAGTTTTGTTGAACTTTATGTTTCTGTTCTTTACATACAGTCTTACTTGTACGAAAGATACTGCTTTTTAAGGATAAAAAAGGATCAATTCGATTTTAGGTATTTATATATAATTTTGAATATTATCAATGAGCAATAGAGACATATCGAAGTATAAAAGCGGTTACAAACAATGAATTCATTTATTAAAAAGAAACAAAAATTTACCTTCTTCGAAATCTCTTTCATTATCAGCTTGTACACCAGTCCAGCTAATAGCCAAAAAGCCAATCATAATCAAAAAACGAATTGAAAACTTCTTCATTTTCTAAACAGAAAAAACATACATATCAATTTTTAAACAGAAAAGCATCATACATACAAATTTTCAAATAGAAAAATCTTTCTATCTACTTTAGAAGCTTCTTATCGCAATTGCTGTTTTATGTATCTAGGAAAGAAATACTATTGACGTATTTGTATTCTTTAATAATTGCTCGAAAAAAAACAAAAAAAGAAATTCTAACTGATGATTATTCATATTATCCTAGGAGGGCGCAAGAAAAGTGTCGATTAATGTAAGTGTTGACAAACTTTTATAATATCCCTATCGGTATCTATATCATTCATCTTTTCTATTTGATGACTAGTTATCAGCACATGAAAAAAGACAAATGCTGTAGGATATAATTTCTTTTAGATTAAGAAAAAGAAAAAAAAATACAGAGACCTTTCCATACATATAATAGTTGTTCTTGACAAGACATTATAAGAATCGTCTTCATATTAATAAAAAAAAAAGCAAAACAGCACTACAATATATTTATATTCGTAAGATTTTCAATATGAATAAATTCTTGGCTTTTATGATTTGTGCTATATTTATTTTTGCTTTCGTTCATCTGGCTCATGCCGATGATGAAAGTGACAATAGCGAATATGGTATATCACTTTTTTTTCATTTATTCGATGTTATATTTGCTTAAATTCAATTTTGTTTAGCTCCTGATGATGCACAACAATTTCTACAAAAACGTCTTTTTGGTATTCCGTTTCCTCGTGAACAACGTCGAGAAGCTAAAGAAAAATATGAAGAACGGTATGTATGCGACAATTATTCTTCGAATGTTTTATGACTGTATTTAGATGTGAACGTGCTATGGGTATTAATAAAGTAACTGGTCTTCAACGATGGTGCCCAAAACTTGAAGTAAGACAATAAAAAAGAATTTTATATAACAAAAAATCTATGAACATTAAAATTAGGAATGGGATCAATGGCGTGCAGCAACAAAAAGTGATAAACGACGTGGCTAAATGATTATCCTTGACAATTATACAGAAACACATTTATATTGCTTTTCAAAATCAATTTTAAATAAAATTATCTTTGTCTTATTAACCGTGCTTTTTTTATCAAATACTTATAATTAAATTTTGTGAATTTTATTTTATAAAAATTTCAATTTTATCACTATGTCTTTCGGGTTAGACTAAAAAAATGAAAAAAAAGGTCACATTATGTTAACATTATTAATACAAAAAGGTTAATAAAACTTGCAATTAGTTCAAAAACAATAAATTTCCTTTTTTGTTCAATTCATATTCAGTTCTAAATGACAAAGAAAATTGTCTAGTATGACTATCAAAGGATCATTGATCATCATCGAAAGGAGTGAAAATATGAATTTATAGTCTTAATAGTTATTTCCTTTATGATAACTATTATGTCAGAATTGATTTTTTTTTACGAAAAAAATGTTTTTGTTTTTGTATACTTGTTTTAATCGTAATAATATAAAAGAAAATACGAGCAAAAAAAATGAATCAGATATGTGTCGCGCATTAAGTCAGGCTTTTAACAATACAGAAAGCCAAGAAATAAATACAGACGCACATATACATACTATCACGATGAAATGACAACAACAGCCAAACAAAAAAGAAAACAAATGAGTAATAAAAAACGAGAGATGAAGATTTTTTTTTGTTACTATCTATAAGATCAACCAGAAAAGATAAAATAAAAGTAGGGGATGAAAAAAAAAGAAAGATTTGACTGTTTCATTTTATTCTGTTTGTTTTTCATCATCTATTTCTTTATTTTCATTATCACTTGATGGTAATGGTTTTACTTCAGTTTCAGTTGTTGTTGCTGTTTCTTGTTTTTCTTTATCTTCATTTGTAGTTTCATTTTCAGTTGTTTTTGGTTTTAATTCATTTGTGTTTGTTGATAGTGTTCCTTGAAATAAAAAAAAAAAATATTAATAAACGAAAAATTTTCTTTTGATAAAATTAAAATTTACCTTCACTTTTGGAATTTTGATTTCGTTGTTTACGTGGTCGTGAATTATGACGTTTTTGTTGTCCTTTATTATTTTTTGGTGATTTTGTTTGTTTACCATTACGTGTTGGTGTTAATGGTTTATTATTATTTCGTGTTTGTTTTGATGAATAGTTTATACGATGATCATCACGAATAAAGCCATCATCATTACGTCCAAAACTAATTTTTTAAAGAAAAAATTTTGAAAAATATACATGTATTGACAAGTTGTTTTTTGTTTTACCGAAATCCACCACGTTGTTGTTGCGAATATAATGATTGTCTTGATCGTGCATATGGGCCTTGCCATTCATTAAGATCATATGATGGTACTATATCAAATGGAATATAACCATCATCTTGATACATCATACGATGACGTGGACGAATTGAAGCTTGTCCTTGTCGAGACATTGGACCATATGAATATGAATCATAATAATCATTTAAACGTTGCTATGAAAAAAAAAACAACATAAACAAAGCTCTTTTTTGTCTTTGAATCAATAAAAAGAAAAAATTCTTGTATAATTACACGTTGTCCATGATAAGCAGTAGTTTGACCAAAAGTTCGATTCGGTGGTCGATTTAATCGTTGACGTGTCATGGATTCAGGCCATACATCATCTTCGACATCTTCCCATTGATCATCATAATAACCTTGTTGTCGTTGTGAACGTCGAGGAGCAGCTGGACGACGACGATTATTATTGTTATTATTTGATGAACGTGATTGTTGTTGAAGACTATTTGTTGGTACTTGTTTAGGTTCAAAACGTTTTGGTAAAATAGCATAAGGAATATGTGGCTGGGCAGCCATTTGATCAACAACAGTTATTTGTTGTTGTGCACCACCAGAACGTGTACGACGTTGACGATTTGAATCATTTGTTGGTCGATAATTTGGTGAACAAGGTATATCATTCCAACCAGTCAAAAGTCGTTGTTGTTGTTGTTGTTGATTAAATGAACGACGGCGATTATGATTACCTTGTAATTGTCGTTGAGATGTTTGCTAATAGAAAAAAAAATAATCGTCGAAGTTGTTTTTTGAATGTATATATATATATGTAATCAAAATAAATTCTTACTTGTTGATTATTATCTGATCCATTACCACGAATAATTGATAAAATAGCTGAATCTGGTTCAATGGTTTCACCATTAGATGTTGATGGTCGTGTTTTAGAACGAATTGTTACACGTTCCATTTGTGTTGTATATGATTGTCGATAATTATTATGTTGTCTTGATATACCATTACTTGCTGATAATGATGTTTTACCCATGAATGTAGCAAGAAATGCATCGTTTGTTAATGGAGCTAAATCTCGTGGATTAAGTCCAGTATTTGAAACAGCTTGAGTGCCAACATTTACCATTATGCGAGGTCCAAGAGTATCCATTAAAATCGACAAATTTTCAACTTAATATGTACTTAGAGACGAAACGATATAAATATAACTTTTCTTCCTTTTTGTTTTTATTCGTGAATGCGTGTAATGTGTATATGCTCGATCTGACAAATGAACGATGGAAATAACGTTCGAAAGAGACCGAAATAGATAGAAAGAGAGATAAAGAAGATAATAAACGAATCTTTTGTCTATTTTTGTTTTCGAACCTCTACGTCGAACTAAACAATGAATATATAACAAGATATTTTACTGCACATGGCCTCGATACGGACAAAGTTATAACATGTCGAGGTTCGATTATGATATCGTAAACATTAATAGACAATAGTTAAGAAGAAATCATTTGAATACGAGAAAATTTTATTTTAGAATTGTTTATTGACTAAGAAATTCTTATTTGAAAATAATTATGTAAATTACAAAAGTTAATATTTAGATTCAATTAAATAATCGTTTAATCTTTTATATAATTAAAATTTAATTCCAATAAATTAAGTTCATAAAAAGAAGAAAAAACAATTCTTTATTTTCGATCTTTTCAATAAAGAGAAAGAAAAATAAAGTGTTTTGATGTTTTTCATGAGACGAAAGGCAATGTTTTTCATCTTAGTAACTATAAATATTCATCCCTGATATTACAAGCTTTCTATTTATCTGACATAAACATTTTAATCCATGATATAACCGATTGACATATACGATTTTAATACAATTACAAAAGAAAGCAAAGAAACATGCACGCGTTTTATAGTGTTCTTTTTATAAATATTTTAATTTTCGTTCATGGACAATTAATAAATATTGAATCAAGTAATAACTTCTTTATTTAAATTTTAATCATTGATTAAGTTTTCTACATTCGATAGAAATGGTAAATAATTATTGCAGTAACTTTCCAAATCCTTGCGATAATGGGGGAACATGTGTTTCAATCTATCCGAATACTTTTATGTGCAATTGTCCACCAGGTTTTACAGGCAGTCTTTGTGATTATCCTGAAAGTATCGTTTTAGATATTGTTCATTTACAAAAAAACAACTTTTTAAAATTTTTTTCGAAGGTATAAATAATAATTGTCTTAGTAGCCCTTGTAAAAATAATGCATCATGTATAACAATACCGGGTGGAGGTTTTCAATGTATTTGTCGTTCAGGCTTTACGGGTATTCTTTGTGATCAATCCACTGGTAACGTCTTTTTTCACAGATTATAACATTTAAAAAAATACTTGATAATTTTTGTTGCTTTTAAAGGTATAACTAATCCTAATGCTTGCCCGATCAATCCATGTTTCAATGGTGGATCATGTGAATTACTGCCGGGTGGTGGTTTTCGATGCATATGTCGTTCGGGTTTTATTGGAAATCGTTGTGAACTATCCACTAGTATCTTTTGAAAAATTAATAGGTTTAAAAAGGCTTTTATACTATATTAAGGTACATCTGGTGGATCTACTTCTTCTGCTTGTCGAAATAATCCATGTGTTAATGGGGGATCTTGTCAAAGTGTACCAGGTGGTGGTTTTCGATGCATATGCCGTACTGGTTTTACGGGAAATTTTTGTGAATTATCTACTGGTATGTTTTGAGAGATCAGTAGGTTTGAAAAAGCTTTTATAATATATTAAGGTACATCTGGTGGATCTACTTCTACTGCTTGTCGAAATAATCCATGTGTTAATGGGGGATCTTGTCAAAGTGTACCAGGTGGTGGTTTTCGATGCATATGCCGTACTGGTTTTACGGGAAATTTTTGTGAATTATCTACTGGTATGTTTTGAGAGATCAGTAGGTTTGAAAAAGTTTTTATAATATATTAAGGTACATCTGGTGGATCTACTTCTACTGCTTGTCGAAATAATCCATGTGTTAATGGGGGATCTTGTCAAAGTGTACCAGGTGGTGGTTTTCGATGCATATGTCGTACAGGTTTCACGGGAAATTTTTGTGAATTATCTATTAGTATGTTTTGAGAGATCAGTAGGTTTGAAAAAGTTTTTATAATATATTAAGGTACATCTGGTGGATCTACTTCTACTGCTTGTCGAAATAATCCATGTGTTAATGGCGCATCATGTGAAAATGTACCAGGTGGTGGTTTTCGATGTATATGTCGTGCAGGCTTTACGGGAGTATTTTGTACGGTAATTTATGATAGTTTTGTTTTAATTTGGTTTATTTATCAATATATTATTTTTCTTTTTATCATTTAGTTTCCAATAACAGGTTGATGGACTTGAACCTAATTACGAACTATTGACAATATATTTTTGAAAATGTAATAATTGTTTATTTAATTATAATAAACGAACAATCTATTTCTTATTGTGCGCTTTTTTTTTTACTAATGCTGCATTCATTAGTAATTACTGTAATGATTTGAAAGAAAAACACGATTCTGTTTTGAAAGAAATAATTGAGCATTAATATATTATTTGCCTTCCTAAAAATATATCCATGTCAATGATAACTGATGTAGAGGTTTCTTTGTTGTTTTTAATCATTTATTTGCCATAATATACAAAAAAAAGTCTTTTTTTTAGAAAAATAAAAATTCATCTAACATTACACATATACGTAATTAATTAATCAAATAAATTTTCAAATTGCGTTAGTTAATTCTTCACAAATTCGTTAAGCCATACTCGTATAGAACAATCATCTTTTTTATAAGTTAAATCATTTTTTATATTCAAAAAAGATTCAATTACTTTTGCTGATGGTATTGATGTATCGAATGAAAATCGAAATGTTATACTCGACAAATATTGAAATCGATCGAATACAATTTTCATTTCATTAACATTTTTGACTGTAATTTTTAAATGCTCAATATATGCAGGAATTAATAAACAAATGTCTTCTACTCTTGTATTGGAATTAATTGAAGATAAATTATTGCATATTTCAAATGTATGAATATTTGACGTTTGTTTAAAAATATTGATTAGATTTCCTGTTGTATATAAATCAAAAGCAAGATCATAATTAAGATTTAATGAAAGTTGTGTTATATAGGAGAGATTTATTAGACTTGATAATGGTTGAGATAAACATGATGGACATTTGTAATCAAGATCAAGTGTAAGCTCGGTTACATTACGAAATAAAGGACAAGGCGGTAATTCAGTCTAAAACAAAAACAAAATTAGAAACGGATGTTTTTAATATTCTAACGAAAAAAAAGACTCTTATTGTGCGGGTGTTTTGTAGTACAAAAAAATTTAATCTTTGAATTTAAAAGAATATATAATCAAAGATTTTTTTGGAAATTATTCTAATCATCGTTGTATATAAAAAATATACCTTTTGTGAAAAATTTTCATGATATATTGTTTTAACTAAATTTAATCGTAATTGTGAAACATTGTCCATCATTGTTTCATTATTATTATTAATTTTTGTAAAATTTGAACATGAAATTCTATTTGATTGATTATGATATTGAAAATATGATTTACATATTGGTATAGAATATAACATAACTTCAGTTGGATTAATAACATAATCACAATTAACAACCCATTGTTTGTTTTCTAACCAAAATGCTGTTTGAAATGGTCGTATAAGAGATTCAATATCAGAAAAATTATAATTAACATTTTTCCATGATAGAAAAAAAAATTCAAATTTATCTAAATTTGGTAATTTTATTCGAATAATTTTTTCCCAACGATAACTATCAATTAAATATGCCATACCAATTACTTTTAAATAAATAAGTGATGGAGTTAATGAAAGAAATTGTTCTAATTTATATATATCCATACGATTATCTTCTAATGTTAAACATTTTAATTGTCGATAATGGGTTGAAATAGCCATATCTGTATCATTCCAAAGAACATCTTTTATAACTAATGTGCGTAAAAATAAGCACCGTTCTAGAATAGTACAATATTGTTCGAATGTTATTCGGTTTGATATTTGAAGACATTCAATTTGACATTGATTAGGCCAAATAAAATCATATATTTCAAAACACCATATACTTAATGTAAATTCTTTTAAACTAGACTGTTCGAGAATTGTTGAAAGGCACGATAATGTTGGATGAGTCAATGTAAGTGATGTTCGAGATTTAATTGTTAATGATTTAAGTGATAAATGAGATAAATCTTTTAAAATAAGATTTAAATTTGAATCATCAATTTCCAAAAGTGTTAATGAATGTAGATGAATAAATTGTTTTAGATTAAAAAATGAAAGAAATAAACTTATTTGACCTGGCGTTTTATCATCATCAGATAAAATAAGTGAGATAATATTTAATGGTTTAATAATACGACAAAAATGATAAAAATTATATTTTCTACATGAATTTAAATTTAATTTATATTGATTATAAACATTTGAAATAATATAAAAACGTTTACAAACATAACGAAATGAAAGAAGTATTGTATTCGTATCAAGAAAATTTAAAATGTGATTAAGAAGTTCAACAGGTAATGCATCTAAATATGAAATTATGGTTGTAGGCATTGCTTCGATAGAAGTTGTGCATAGTATTCGTATGTTTATGTCACAACTGCTTAGTATGATGGTGCAATTTCATGGTGATGTATTTCATTTTTATTTTGCCATCAAATACAAGGTGAAAAAAAAGAAAGAGCGAAGAAAAAAAAAAGAAAACGTACCTTGTCCTTTTCTTTATTGGTATCGACGAACATATAAAGAAAAAAAACATGATCGAATCTTTTTTTTTCCTAGGGGGAATATCAATAATAAAAAAATAGGACTGATGCGTAGATAAGCGAAGTCAACGACATTATTTTCTTCTGAAATCAAATAAAAAAAGATATGTTCTTGATGCACTTTAACTTACACTATAGAAAATATTTAATTCCATCGACTAATTTATATATTAATATTTAACATTAGTATCTATCAAACTCTAAATGAATTTCCCTCTTAATAATGTAAGCTAAATATGAGAACAAATGAAATCTTTATTTGGAAATACAACACATTGTAGATATATTACTAAGTAATTATACATCTGTGAGTTATATCTAGTTGCGTATCCTTTGTGAATGGCGTCGTATTTATTTTGAATGGACAACATTAATTAGTTACAAATGTTTTCTGAGAGAAAAAGAGAAACAATACGGTTATTTTTATTGTGTAGAGGACTTTTTGTTTGGTTGCACATGAAATGGAAGAGGAAACAACAAATCATTGACTTTTCTTTTTTTTTTGCCAGACATAAAAGTGTTTATTGGCGCATGTAAATTGCCTACTATTTTTTTTATGACAACCGATTTTTTTTTCTTTCTTCATTTTAGTCATTAAAAAAATATAAATTTATAAGTCTATTTCTTAGTTTCAATGGTCAATTGTGACCATGATGAGAAACTGTCTGTCCATCGGTGATATTCATTTGTTGAATCATGCCATTCGGTAGTTATGATAGAAGCCGATGACGGTGTACTTAAATCGTCTCGTTTCGTGCCTATCAATCGCCATGAACATTGATTAAATGCACATGTCGTTGGTTGAACAGTTGTCCCACACAATGGACATTGTGAAGTAATTACAGTAGAATTGGTTACTACATTCAATTGGCCAATACCTTGATTCATAATAACTTTATTTTCAAACGCTTTACATTTGGCATTTAAACAGACACCATCAAGACATAAACCTACTGATGCTTGTCTCCAAGCAGGACCATCTTCAGAAGATTTTTCTGATATAATAGGTGGATATTGTATAATAAGAGTAACACCATCACGAATAGCACTTCGTTGACGATTAAAAGCTTCTTCATTCCATGTACGAAAAATGACACCACCTAGTGAATAATTATAATGTTCAGGATTGCCAACTTTCTTTCCTATTAAACTTTGAAAATCACGTAAACTAAAATGTGTTGGTAATGTAGCTGGTTTGCGACCTTGAGGAGTATCGAGGTAGATGCCGAGTGGCATTATTGTATCTATCTATATGTTGGGTGAATGTGATGAAAGGAGAACTAATATCTCATTGAATAGACTATAATTTGTCTTGTTTTGCTAAGAAAAGAAAAAAAAACGATAGACTATATCGGGCGATACCATTTCTGATGAAAGACTTATCAACATCTTTTTTTGGGGTGGAAGAAAAACAGCCCTCTATGTATCATTATTGGAGAACTAAAGAAACAACATGACAATGTCAAAAAAAGACATTCGCATTATTTTGGGAAGCATCGAAAAAAATACACTTCTGATTAATATAATAAAGAATTAAAAGAAATGCAGCATGTTTCTGGATATGCAATAAGAAAAGAAAGATTTAACGTATAATCTAATTTCTTACCTATGATAAATCATTAGTGATAATTATTTGAACAACTTTGTATTGATAGAAACTATTTAGAATTGATTTATAATCTATATTGTAATCGTCTTTTTTATTAGAAAATGATTGTCTTACTCAAATTCTCGTTAAGTAAAATGTTATTGAGAGGCATCATTTACCTTCTATTAAGCATCTTAGTGAAATCAATGACCATTTTAACATTGCCTGACTCTTATGCTTTCTATTTTGCAAAAATATTATTCGAACTAAACATCGAAATTGAAATAATGCTGAAATTAAACCAGCTGTCATTAATAGCAAGTCAAAATAGATGGTATATCTGGGAATATATATAAACTTTTCTATTAGATTTATAACATGAAACCTGCAACGAATAATAGACCAATTAATCTTTAGTGTTAACATTGCTAAAGACTAACTGAAATAATTTTTGGAATAACAAAATACATTTTCTTACACTTTCGCGCTGTCTTTACAAGGTAACAGAAATATTTGTTTCAAATTTTGAGATAAATACTTAACGCCTGAAGTGGCGCATTACATGGACAACTCGAAAGGTTCTTTCACGCCGGAGTTGCTTGAAAAATAAATTTAAGTGCAAAAAAACATGAATTCAATTTCTACTATTTATGATTTATTGAGTCAAATCATATTCTACGTCGTATACTAAGTGAAAAAGTCTAATAGAAAAACAATTAGCTCAACGAGGTGCTTTGTATTCAATGCAAACGATAAGAAAGTATAAATTGGTTAGATAGTTTTTTCGAATAAACATAATTATTCTTATTCTAATCTATTTTTCTTTCAAATACTGCAATTCATAGAAAGCAAGATTTGAGATTTATTAGATTTCTAAAATTCTTTTGGTAAGATTTCATTGAATATTATATTGCAAATAATTCTTTGAAAAACCTTTTGCCATCACCTTTATGGATCTCATACAGTAAATTAATAAAAGCATGAAGGTCTGTAAAAATAATCTGATTCTCTAAATATTTATCTGATGATTCGTAGGTTTCATTCATCTCAGTTCTGATGTTTTAAAATTCTCTACGAAGTTTTATTCCACAACAACACTAACTGACCTGTATGTCTAATACAAAAAAAATGTGGTTCTATTAATGACTGTTTGAGATCCATAAAGGTGATGGCAAAAGG